TGGGGAATTCTGAAGTGCCTTCTTTCTGAGCCTTGGCAGCAGTCAGGTTCCAGGACTGTCTGAATTTGTTCTGTTTTCAGTTTTTCAAGGTCATCGAACGTATGCTTTCATAAGGTAATACTTATTTTTCTGCAAGGTGTTGAAATCAGGTCATGTTTTTCTTTTATTTGCCTTGGTCATATGCTTCACCTGTGACGGTTGGAAGACGGCATGGCCTGGTCTGGAAGTGGTCTCTCTCATGCTGGGAAAGCCACACGTCCCATCCTGTTTCTCAGCCAGCATCTCAGACGGCTCTTTGGGCTTGACTCCGTTCCTCTCAAGGATGGAGAAGTTCAGTGACAAGCACAGAACAAAATGACAAAATGAACTCTTGAGAACAAACTTTGTTATTGATTGTACAAGGTGTTCCTTAAAAAATGCATTATACAAATCGAAACGCTAATTTGGGGGAGTGGGAAGAACCCTTGGTGTGCTGAGAAGACCCCAATCATCCCGTCCCCCTGCTCGTCTTAGAGAGAACGGTGACGCATGCACGTAGGCCACAGTTTGCCTGTCTGATGCTTTTGGAAGTTGACGTGTAAATGATTTCCTGAGAAAAGCTAGTTGAATCAAGCTTTCATCACAGAGCTATGAGTTTATCATGTAGATATAATACAGAAGATACTTTACATAGCTTTGCATTTTAACTCATTTGAATCTAAAATACAATCCAAAATCTTCAAAACCTTTGGGCCCAGATGTGCTTCAGACTTCCAGTTTTCTTGGACTTTAAGAAGATGATATAGTACCTGTTTGATATTTCACGTCGTCACGTCGTCCCTTTCCCCAGCAGCATCTGGGCAGCGCTCAGTGATCAAACGTTAATACGTTTTCAGCAGAACATATGGATAATTATGTCGCATGGGCTAAGTCTTGACCATAAATAGCTTACATAATTTAGGTCAGATTTTGAGGCCAAATGAGTCTGCCACAAACTCAAGAAAAAAATTGTAGTTGGCAGAGCTTTTGGATCTTATAGTGAAATGTGAGAGATGGTGGACCTGATTGTCATTTGGGTCCACTCTGTGAGCTGCCCAAAATCAGTTAACATTTTCTGTGTGTAGATGGGAAAATTAAATTTAACATTATATTCTATTTAATGTGGTTTTTTAAGAATATGTTTTGTATTATTTTTAGCTGCTTCATTAACTGGGTGGTCCAAGCACCTAGTTAACGTGTTCAGCCGATTCCATAGTAAACTGAAAGATGACCCAGGGTTTGGACAAACATGCACAGCCGACATCTGCCTAAGCCCCGGGGTGCCTGGTGTACGTCTGCGGCACGCAAGCCTCGCCCCCCCCCCCCGCCCCCTTCTGCCGGGAGTCCTTGGGGGAAGGTGTTCCCCGCTGTTTATACCATGCTGGCAGTCGGGCTCGGCTTTATTTCCTACAGCTGTGCTGTGAGGTAGACTCCTGTTTCATGTTTCAGTTGGAGTTAAGCCTGATCAGCAGTTAGGTAGGAGAATTTGAGGGAAATAGTATGTTTGGGGAAATGACAGCAGGATGGTATTACGTGGCAATTCTGCTTCCTTTAGAAGTACTTCCTCCAGCTCTGATTGTGGTGGGACATTGTATGTTGAATAATCTGTAAAACCCAAGATTATGTCTGCTAGTTCCCATTCAGTTCAGAGTATTAAGGTAAGCTTCTGCCTAATCTGGTCAAAGTAACACTTTGCTTCATCTGCTGTTTTACTCATGACATCTTTTTCTGCCTTCACTGCTAAGTATGATTAGAAAGCTCTGCTGGCCATCTCTCTGCTCTGGTGAATACCACTTGGTTTGTGGTAGTTTCATGCAATATAGTTAGTGTCGCAGCGCAAGTGAAGAATGTCCCGTGACTCAGGGTCTTGTTAAGCCTTAAACTTAGAGTCATTGAGAAGCCGAGGGCCACAGCTCATTTGGAGAATGTTAGCACAGGATACCGTTATGCCAAGATGGCTGTTGCTTAGCTAGTTGTTTAGTTTTCCTTCCTCTTACTAAAAAAAAAATAACTTTGCATGGCACAGAAACTTACATAGGTGTACAGAACCCTAACCCTTCTACTGGAAGTCTTTTTATGATTTGGATGAGACCTATAGTATAATTACTTGGTTCTTATGGGCTACTTGAAAATATAGGTGAGGGGCCGGCTCTGTGGCCGGGTGGTTGGGTTCGCGCGCCTCGCTGCGGTGGCCCAGGGTTTGGATCCTGGGCGCGGACATGGCACCTCTCGTCAGGCCACATTGAGGCGGCATCCCACATCCCACAACTAGAAGGACCTGCAGCTAAGATATACAACTGTGTACAGCGGGGGTTTGGGGAGATAAAAGCAGAAGAAAAAAAAGGATTGGCAACAGTTGTTAGCCCAGGTGCCCATCGTTAAAAAAAATAAAATAAAAATATAGGTGAATTGTTATGGAAACAGATGGTTTATCCTAGAAACTACTGTGGTGGGCAGATTACAGCATGATTAGGTACTTAGATTTTAGGAGTGTGTTAATTTTCATTTAGTATATTGTAAAACACATGCTAAAAGTATCTTTTAGTTTTTATTGGAATACCAATACCAGAAGTATTGGTTTTTAAATCACTGAACTAATCTGATTATAGTGTTGTTAAATACTCTAATTTTAACTAATATAGAGTACCTATTGCTGTTTATGTATCAAAAGTGAAGAAACTATTATGTGTATTGATCAATGCTAATTTTAGAGATAGCTTTATACCTCCTGTCAAACCAGTGGTAGACCTCAATATGGAGTGGTTCAATTCATGAGAAAAATGTCTTCTGTGTTATAAAATAATTCTCAGTGCTGTCACGTGCTGCATAACGACGTTTCAGTCAATGACGGACCACATATATGACAGTGGTCCCATAAAATTAGTACCATACAGCCTAGGTGTGTCTTAGGCTGTACTGTCTAGGTTTGTGTAAGTACTGTAGGGGAGGAAGAAATGTTCCTCTACCCTTTTGGGTTCGTCTGGCCAGTCTAAGAATTAAATAGACCTGAGACAGATTAACAGGAAAAAAACAAACAAAAGTTTAATAACATGTATATGTGGGAGAAACCCAGGAAAATTGAGTAACTCGCCAAAATGGCCAAAGCCCTCACCTTAAGTACTGTCCTCAGCTAAACTCAAAAGAAGATGTTGGGGGTGGGGAGAGTCAGGAACTTCAAAGGGAAGAAGTTAGGTAAAAAGGAGTGTATGTTTGGGAAATGAGTGTTTGGCCACAGAAAGAAGGACAGACAGGGAAGCCCAACAAACAGGCTTTTCCAGGTTCCTCCTCTTCCTGTTGTGCTAAGGTGATCACTCGCTTCCTGACAGGTTTATCTATCTGAATTCTTTGAGGCAGTTAAGGGGCAGGTAACAAGAAAAATTTTCTGAGTCTTTTGTTTCTTAAAAATAATCAGCCTAAAATAATCCTTATGTTAAAGAGACACATTTTGGGGTGGCAAATTTTGTTCCCCTTAAGTACATTCTTGATGTTGGCCCTAGTATGAAATCACCTAATAATGCATTTCTCAGAAATTATCCCCATTCTTAAGCGACACATGACTGTGTAGAAAAGTCTTGGCTGGCCATATGAACCCTGTGAGTGAGTTTTTTTCACATCGCCTATTTTTCTTGATCTTTGAATACAGTATGATGGTATTTTTGGAATCTGTAACTACTACAAACAAAAGGGTACAGGTGGTATTTAAACCACAGTCAGCAGCACAGCAGCGGCAGCCACTGGCTGGGCTCCCTGACCTCGGCCCTGGTGCTGGGATGCACCCGCTTCTGAGAGCACCTTGGTGTTGCCACGCAGCTTCCTTGTTCAGAAAGTAGCACGACCAGTGAAGTTACACCAACCTAATTTTAGAAAGATAAATTAGAAAGTTGGAAGGAAAACAAAGCAAAAGAACCAGCCAATGTTGGCTGCATTATAGAAATTAATTTAAATTTGTGTGAAGCCACAAACATAGTGTTTGTAAATGTGAGGCTTCTGTGGACTCCTGCATGACTGTGACGAGACAGACTCCCCCTCACTGGGCCAGGCGTCAGCTTTGCTAGTTGTGGAGCTGGGATCAGAGTAACATGTCTGTGTTCACATCTGCATACATCCCTTGCCCAGTAATCCAGCTTTTTAAAAGAAATCCTTGTACCCATTGCTATAGTTAGTAGAAAATAATCCAAAATGAATGTAGTTGTAACTTACACAATTTTAGCAAAATCTACTGATGCCTTAATTTGTTGCTATAAAAACAGCCAGCTCCAGGCGTGTGTTAGCTTCCTGTTGCTGCTTTGACCAATTACCACAAACCTACTGGCTTAAAATAGCACAGATTTATTATCTTATACTTCTGGAGGTCATAAGTTCAAAGTGAGGGTGCTGGCCAGCTGCAGTTCCTTCTGGAGGCTGCAGGAGGGCGCTGTAGACTGAATGTTTGTGCCCCGTGACGTTCGTGTGTTGGAGTCCTAATCCCAGAGGTGGTGGTGTGGGGAGGGGCCCCTGGGAGGTGGATTCGGTTGTGATGGGATTAGTGCCTTATAAGAGACCCCTTCCCACGTGAGAACACAGCTGTGGCCGAAGAGACAGGTCCTCGCAGACCTGGACCTGCTGGCACCTTGACGTGTAGTCCAGGCTCCAGAACTGTGAGAGACCATGTTTGCTGCCTCACCCCCCAGGCAGGAGTGTTTTGTCGTTTCCTTGCCTTCCTCACGTTCCTTGGCTCCAGCTTGGGTTGTCATCTCCAGCCTTAGATCCGTCTCTCTCGGGCTCCCTGCTTCCATTTCCGTTTACAAGGATGACCTCCCAGTTTAATCACATCTGCAGATACCCTATTGCTGTGCAATGTGACATGTTTAAGGTTCTGGGGATTAGGAGATGGACATCTTTGGGGGCCTCTGGTCTTCGTACCACAGGCTGTTATCCCATTAACAGTTCAAGTCTTTGGTGTCCAGATCTGAGCCTTTTTTGTTTCTGTGGGGGATATTTAGGGGACAGTGAGAAGTAAGAAGATACACGTGAAAACCTGTTAGAGACGAACGACAAGCACTGAAGGTTCAGGAGGCCCTCAGTGGTAGGTGCCTCCCCAAATGTTCTTCAGTCAGTAAATGAATACATGGGAGGACTGGGAATTCTGGCTACCATAACACTTCAGTTATCTGGAACCTCAGGGAATAAGTCTTCTAGAGAGTTAATCCCTTATAGTCGAAATCTTAAAAAATTACCTGACCTCTATGGGAAGTTGCTGGTATTTATCCTACTGTTGTAGCTCCTCTTTAATTTTTGTTATAGAAACACAACACATGGGTAAAACGTTAAAATGCAAGTGAGCTTTTAGGTGAAGGAACTTACCCCTGCACTCCCATCTTCCCTGGAGCAGTCGCCTGATTATTTCTGTTCTTTATTTTGCAGGTCACTCCCAAACCTCTAAATCACGTTTCTTCTTTATTTTTATTTATGAGCTTTAGACGCTGACTGCTGACTTCTCACCGGGACTTCTCTCTCGCACTACCCTTTCCCTTCATGCCCTTCCAGCCTGCTGCTCACCCCTTCTCAGCTTCGCCCGTGGTGAGCTCTCGAGTCCGGCTCACCGGGAGCTGCATCTTGGCTCCTGTGAGTGTGGAGAGTACCTCTGACACGCTTCAGCTTTGTTCTGTTTCCTCTGAGAAGCAGTCAGGGCAAGGCCCTATGTCTGCCCCTGTAATGCAGGATCATTTACAGCCCCTCTGCTTCCCGGGCTCTTAACAGCTGTACCTTCACTAGTCAGGGTTGACAGGGTTCTCTCTGAGAATTTATGTCTGTTCTGTAACAGTACTACCAACAGGCTATGGAATGATTCTGAAGGGTGAAGACCAGTAGTAAGTATCCGTTGTTTACTTCTGCAAATGTTGTTCACTGCAGATGGACTAAGATGTTAGAATTAAATTTCCTTCTCTGTTGATTAGGTGTTGTGATCGGAGTGCCACTGAAAGGAAATTTCCTACCATCAGATTACAGGGGAAATCTCTCTCCTCTCTTCCTCCCTCTCTCTTTCTCTCTACCCTGCGGGTACTTGTGCCAAGACTTCAAGGTTTTTTCTGTTTTGAGTCATTGTGTCTCACTTCTTTCTAGAGAGATCCCTCTCATTCTCATCTGGAGTGGTCACCCCCCAGGGCTCTGGAGACTTCCCTCTCATTGTGATCTGAAGCAGTCACTCTCCTGGGCTCTGGAGGCCTCCCTCTCATTCTCATCTGGAGTGGTCACCCCCTAGTGCTCTGGAGACCTCCCTCTCATAGTGATCTGGAGCCTCACCCTCCTGGGCTCTGGAGGCCTCCCTCTCATTCTCATCTGGAGTGGTCACCCCCTAGTGCTCTGGAGACCTCCCTCTCATTGTGATCTGGAGCCTCACCCTCCGGGGCTCTGGAGAACTCCCTCTCATTCTCATCTGGAGCGGTCACACCCCAGGGCTCTGGAGACCTCCCTCTCATAGTGATCTGGAGCCTCATCCTCCGGGGCTCTGGAGAACTCCCTCTCATTCTCATCTGGAGCGGTCACCCTCTGGGGCTCCCATGCAGTTATCATCCTGGGATTTCACTTGTATGTTGTGTTCACTGTTTTCTCTATCACCTTCCTCCTTTCTTTTGATTTACCTCCTCATTTTGCTAGAGGTCTAATTTCTAAATCATCAAATACCTGACATTTTCTGTATCCCTTCAGTATATTTATTTGACAGTTTGGCAGTGAATGGTACCCACTTTACGTTGCCTTTTTCCAGGATTGGAGTGCACTGCTCCGCTGACACCAGTCTCGCTCCTGGACCCTCATAGGCGACTCGTTTTTCTCCCTGGAGGCATTTAGTGTCTTCTCTTTGTTCTTGACATTCTAAAATTTAGCGATAAAGCCTAAGTGTGGATGTTTTCGTTCATTGTAAGGTTGAAGTCGTGCAGTGTTGTACAAGACCCTCTGCCTCTCCTCCTAACTCTCGGGTCTCACCTCATCCTTCCACCCCGCCAGCTTACCTTCCTGCAGCCTCACTGGCCTCCTCTTTCCTCAAAGAGGCCTCCAGGGAGGGGGAGGGGCTAGAGATGGAGCCCACTCACCAGAGACCAGTGATGTAATCACTTACGCCTACTTAATGAAGTTTCCATAAAAACCCCAACTGAAGGGATTTGGAGGGCCTCCCGGGGGGTGAGGAGGTGCTGGAGGGGTGTCTGGAAAGGGCATGGAAGCCCTACATGCCTTCTCCCGTGCTTCGCCCAGGCATCTCTCCCATCTGGCTGTTCCTGAATTGTATCTTTCTGTAATAAATCATTAATCTAGTAAATAAACTGTCTTCCTGAGTTCTGTGAGCCATTCTAGCAAAGTATTGAACCCACGGAGGGGGTCATGGGTCAGAAGTACCGGAGGGCTGGACTTGCACTTGGCGTCTGAAGGGCAGTCTTGAAGGGCCCAGCTCTTCACTCATGGGATCTGATGGAAACTCCAGGTGGAGAGTCAGAACTGAGGTAAATTTTAGGACATGCAGTCAGCGTTTGCAGAGAATTGGAGGATTGCTTGGTGAAGGAAAAGCATGCAAACACATATACATACATGTGTGTGGTTGTGTGTATGTATGTATTTATGTGTGTATACTGTGTATCAGTCTGCCAGGCCTGCTACAACATACATACACATGTGTGTGTTGTGAGTGTGTATGTATTTATGTGTGTATCCTTTGTGTCAGTCTGCAGACTGGGGCCTTGGACCCCAGAAGTTCCTTCTCCCGGTTCTGGAGGCTGGAAGTCAGTGAAGGAGCCGCGGGCTGGTTCCTCCTGAGGCCTCTCTGCTCAGCTGGGGAGAGCTGTCTTCTCCCTGTATCTTCACATCATATCCCACTGTGTGTACCTGTGCCCAAATTTCCTCTCAGAAGGACATCATGGTATTGGATTAGGGACCACCCTAAAGCCGTCATTTTTTCTCATTACCTTTTTAAAGATCCTGTCTCCAGATACAGTCACAACACTGGGGCCAGGACTTTACCATGAATTTGGTGGGGGCACAGTTCAGCCCACGATAGACTTACTTATTTCTATATTCTGTCTCCCCGAGCTGGAGTGTAAGGTTCATGAAGGTGAGGCTTTTTGTTGTTTTTCTATTTCAATATATACCCCACACCTAGAGCAATGCCCAGCAATGTAGTAGATGCTTAAGAAACAATATCGAACCTTCCAGCCTCTTGATGAGTTCTCTCAATCTGAACACCCGTCCTTTCATCTCTGGAAGACTCTCTTCTGATTATTCGTTAATTCAAGTACCCTCCCCCAGTTCTCTGTGTTGTCTTCCTGTCAGTTGAAATTTGGACCCACTTGATTGATCTTTCCTGTCTCATTTTCAGTCACTGTTCTACTTTTTGGAAGATTTCTGCAACCTTAACTTCCAGACACTTCTACAGAAGGCTGTATTTTGACGAGCATGCTTAATTCCTGAGCGCTGTTCCTCATCCTGTCTCATGGCATTCTGTCACTGTTTTATGGGTGCTGCATCTTTGCTGATCTTCTTGCATTTATTAGGTCTCATTGTATCTGTTTTGTTTCCTGAATTTTATGTTTCTTCCTATGCCATTTTTTTTTGTTTATTTTATTCTTGCTCTTACAAGCGCTTGGGCATTTCTCACGCTTAATTATCTGCAGTCCTTGGTTGTACATTTTTATTTACTGATGGGACAATGAAGCACCAGGACGCTTGCTGCAGGGATGGGACCCTGCCCTCAGGATGAGCTCGCTGTTACCTGGAGGCCCCTTCAAGGTAGGATGCAGAGGTCTTTGGTTTGAGGGGCAGATACGCACAGTGCCTACCATAGGGCTCCCCAAATTGTTTATTCAACTTTCTTAGATAAAAACCTTTCAACATTTTACCTGGCTGCCAGACTTGCCGTATATGGGAGTATGGAACCCATCGTTTCGTATATATGCTTTGAATTACTATCTTTCTGTTCACTTTCACTCCTGTCACATTACATCTGGCGTTTTCTCTGCAGCTGGGTGGGTCAGAGGAGCCCTCTGTCACCGTGGTCCTCCTCATGAGAGGCCTCTCCTCCTGCTGCATCCACCACCACTCCTCTGCGTGTCAGCCTTCAGAAATTGTCGAAATCTGTTGTTAGGTAGTGATTCTCTCTGTGCTATTTACTTTATTGTTTTCGGTTAGTAATTCATTTCTTTTCATCTCATTTAAGGGTGTCTAAGGAAGGAGAGAGGAGCGAAAACTTTGTCATGACTTTGCTTGTCTTGAATTAGAATTCTTCATCCCTTAATCACACAGAGAACACAATTTGACCTTATTTTGATGATGTGGATCTTCATTATACATCTCAGTTACTGGGATGTGCTCTAGCTTTTTAAATGCAGATTTGAGACAAGGAGCTGCGTGTAGTCTTAAATCCAGTAGTGGTTCTAGAACATGATGTCTTACCAAAACAGCTCCTGGTCAGCAATTGTCCTGGAGTCGCTGCAGCAGCAGGACTGACCCTTTGGGTTTGCCTCCCAGTGATGACCTTCCTGCTTGCCTCTTTAGTGTCAGAGCTGTCTGTCACCTCACTGACTTAAAACGTCCCAGCTCCCGTTCATGCTCCATGCTATTTCAGGCGAAGAGTGCAACCCCGTCTTTCCTGAAGCCGGCACGTCCCTTTGCAGTCGGAACCCTGGGCTGTTCTCGTGGTTCACCCTTTTCACACAGTGCAGGTCTTCTTCCTAAAAGCAAACCTTCCTCCCCGTCTGTTCCCTGCAGCTGCGTGCCCCTCTGGTGGAGCTTCTCAGTCCCTGTCTGAGTCCTGCCCCTTAAGCATAGGTGCTCTCTGAGTGTCTGTGTTTAGTCCACTTTTTTTCTCACTCTTTTCCTGGGAAATCCTCTTTCCCATGGTGATTGATCTGGCTACCATTTCGCAGTCGTTTAGGGTCTGTTAGAAGGTAATGGCTCCTGAGCTAGAGAAGGTGCAGCGTCACTGGTTGGAGCAAGCTTGGTTTCAGATGTGTAAGCTCCCTGGCCCTCAGACCCCACAGTGCCTTTGAAGGCACCTAACCAGTCTTCTGCTTTTTCTTGATTATGTGCAGGTCTGCAATCAAGGCCCTGCGTCCTGGAGGCCTCCTCGTGTACTCTACCTGCACACTTTCCAGGGCAGAAAATCAAGACGTGATCAATGATGTGTTAAACACCCACAGCAACGTCATCCCTGTGGACATTACGGAAATGGCAAGGACCTGCTCCCAGGATTTCTCCTTTGCTCCCACTGGTCAGGAGTGTGGGCTCTTGGTGATTCCAGATAAGGGCAGAGCCTGGGGCCCGATGTATGTAGCCAAATTGAAAAAATCGTGGACTGTGTGAAATTGGTGACTTGCATTTTGTGGACCATGTCAACGTATTATATTTGTTTTTCTGAGCTCTGCTACATGTTAACATTTAAATAATTGTGGAGTTGCTTTCCCTGGGTCTGTTGGAATCCTGTTTAGTTAATGCCTTAGCGTCTCAGAGTCAAGGTTTGGGAATTTTCCAGGTGTATTTTTTTCCTAGAAATACATCTATAGCAATGATTTAAGGTGGTACAGATGGTGCTTGTTCTGTGTGATAATAAATCTGCTGTCTTTTACTTGGCATTTTCTAGTTAAATTAATCAGAATATGTAGTTTTATGCATAAAATGTTTAGAAACACCTATCCATGACGTTGGCACTTTGAACCTTTAAAAGTGCACGTTGCCGGCCTCTCCTTATCAAATATACAGATGATTTCAGAGTTTTTTTCCCCCTTTTCTGTAAGAACTGATTGGTATTCTGGAAGTAACTTCTTCCAGAAGCACTATGTCTGGTTCTAGCAAAATAGGTTTCTTATTTGCCAAGTTGTTTTCTTTTAGGGACTGTCTTCTGTTTGCTTCAAAGGTCAGTGACTATCGACACCAGCTTTATGTCTCTGCTCTTTTTCGTATTCACAAATACAAATTGAAAGGGTGAATTATGTCGACAGGCCTTAGAACAGCAGATCCGCATGTACATGTCTGACTTCGACATCCAGGTGGTGGGAGAATGGGTCTATCCAGCAGGCAGTAAAGAACGCACTTGAAACAAAGCCAGAATGATTAGTGACTGCAGTGGCTGAACTGTGTTTGGAGTTTTGTGAGCAGTAGACTCTGACTGTCCTGCAGTTGCCGTCTGGGGGCTGTTTACTTCACTGCATTGTGCAGTGTTGTGTGAGAGCACAAGGTCACGTTAATGCATGAGGGGGAGGCACCTAGTGAGAGCCGTTACCAACACTCCGTGCATGGACTACTGGCTCCCTGTTCACACATATCCTGGGAAGATTGTGTGCGTTTCTGTGTGTGTGCTTGTGGTTTTAGCTTCAGGTTTGGATCATGTGTTTTCTCTAGACATTGCTTCTCTCAGAGTCCAAACAATTTTTTCCTAAAGTTAAGAAAAATTATGCAGCATACTTCAAAAGAGTATATCTGTTGGAAAGTAGCTTTTTTAAGAAAATACACCGACTATATAAATATGAAATTCTGCTGAAGCGGAATCCTTTTGAATTGTTTATTACATTCTGTGCATTTAAACTAGAGAGTGTTTGCTTATAAACTTGTTTTTGTTTTGCAAGCATATGTGACCAGGTTCCAATAACTGGGAAGCATATGTGACCAGGTTCCAATAACTGGGAACCGTATGTGACCAGGTTCCAATAACTGGGAACCGTATGTGACCAGGTTCCAATAACTGGAAAGTCCTAGGAAGAATGTTTTTTCTGTACCTTCATTCCATTGAGCCTTTTTTCCCTTTATATGTAACCAATATGTTTAAAGAAAAGCTGGATCTCTTGGACTCAGTGACACATACTGGGTTAATATGAAAGATTAATGATAATGGAAAAGATTTAATTTTTTTGGTTGGTGCTTATTGGTTTATTTCAACTTGAAATCCTGTCTTCAGATACTATAGGTTTAAAAAGTGCATTTATTCTGTGTAAGTTAAGCACAAAGTAAATTTTCGTGGTGCACTTTGTTGAATGTCCTTATTTTCTCACCATGTGCCCTGAGCCTCATCTGAACACTCTGTGGGCCACTGGTTACACCTTCCTGTGATTGCTGAAAAGTGCAAATAAAGATAGAGCGAGCCCACTTTATTATTAACAATGATTTTAATGAAAGAGCTGACATTTATTAAACATTAAATATTTGATCAAGTTCTTTATACAGATGTATCTTTTTGGTCTTTAAAAGACTCCAGGAGTGAGTATTGGAACCGCCTTTTGCGAGTGAGAAAACCCAGGCTCAGTGCTGGTGGCAGCTTTGCCGAGTCTACACTGGTGGGTAACGGGTGAAGCTGAGGTTCCAACCAGCACCACAGGCCAGGCCCTTCTTCCTGTGCTGTGCTGTCTCACAGGGTATGGGTCATGGGGACCCTCAGATTGTCCTCGGGCTTCACCCTTGCTCTCTGTTGGTCAGTTTTCCACTTGTATGCGACTCCCTATTCTCAGCGCATCAAAAGTTAATCAAGACGTGGAGAAGAAAGCCTTTGAAATATTTCAGTGTGTGTTCTAAAGAAGAATTTCTTGTATTGCAATGCCCAGAAATCTCCCATGGATGTATTCTGTGCCTTCCTTGTCTTTGTGGATGCTGAACTGAAAAATAGAAGTTTGGAGCAGCCTCGCAATGTCAATTGAAAACCAAGGAGTAATTGATGCTACTTTCTGTGGCATTGAGTTACTTTGAAAATAGCTTTGTAATAATTTGGGTTGCTCACCAACACATTAACTTCTCTCTGCCATCAGCACACTGAACAGCCGCTAGTTTCAGAAATAGGCTATGAATAAATGTAGTGCTTTTTTAATGGTTTGTACTGAATTTTAAAGCATCGGAAATTACCTGTGGTTTGGAATCAAGGTGGCCTACTATCCTTTATCCTGTTACATATGTCCATATAGCCTTATACTCAAGATGGCATGTTACCACCCCAGCAGTATTGTGAAAAATACCCTTTATACAACGTGAGTGGGTATAAAATGATACCAGAACACTTGCTACATGATTAGATAAAGTAACAACGAGTCTAACAGGCCCTTGTCCACGAAGGCCTCCTGCCTGGGAGAAGAGGGCCAGGTGATACGCAGGCTGATGCAGCTCATCTGAATCACAAAGAGAAGACTGGAACCAAGAGCAGCCATTTTACTAGATGCCAAGAAGTCCTTTGAGGCAACTGAACAGGACCACTTGTATTATGTGTTAGGCAGATTTGGCTTTGGGGACAAATATAACAGGTAGCACAATTTATTTTTAATCCATTTATATGGTTCAAATCGATGGTTTACAGTCTCCCTGTCTTTGCCTCATTGCTGCCCTGGGGAGGGAGGTAAGGATGATGCCCATCACTGGTGCTACTCCAGGCTGACGCTGGAGCTGTAATGGCACCAGATCCCATGGGTATCTGATGGATACTCAGTTGGAGGCTCTCAAGTTAGCTAGTGTCTGCTGATAATCTGTTGCTCGTGCTGAAGGCTCTAGCAACGTCTGACCTGGAAACATCGACAGTAATGTCGGGATTTGGAGAGGCTTCAGGCTGCAAAGTCAGTGGGAGAGGATCAGAAATACTCAATTGACAGAGTAGTTCCTGTTAGTGTTACTTATTATGCGACATTTAAAATAAATTTTAAAAGAATGGATTTGGAATTCTCAGGGAATGATTAAACAATAGAGTAAAAAAACAAATTTAAAACATTGAGCTGTAATTCAGTGCTAAGATTTTAAGAAAACATTTCACTAAGTCTAAGGAGGAAAAAAGCCTGGTAGAGTGTACATCTCTTTAAAATTTAATTAGCCCAGTCAAATATTAATGCCACACCTTTCTGTAACTTTTCACGAATGAAGAAAGTAGTTTCCCAGTCACATGAGACCATGTGGTCGTGTTGAGACTAGGTGGAAGCACCTGCCGCCTTTGGAAGGGGACCAGTTGCTTCACTGGAAGCCATTTGATAGCTACATGGTGACTCAGTTGAGCTTGCTGTGGCTTGTCAGGAGGAGTTTTCTGCTGCATGGTGCTCTGGAAGAGCCTGTTACACGCAAATAACTATATAGCCCAGCAGAGTCAACAGAGACTGAAAACATAGCCCATTGAAAAATAAGAAAGGACTAGATTTCTAGCGGTTTCTTAGTTCTTAAAAGCAAGTAGGAGCAGAATTGCAGATATTAACAAGAATGGACATGCTGAAGAGGGTTTAGCATTGGTGACAGGAGAAAAGAGGGACTGGGCTCATTTCACCTTATTAACTTATATAGAGAAAGAATCTTCATTTACTCATCCAAACGAAGCATTAACAACCTTTCTCCCTCCTTCTGGTGTTACAGTACTCACTGGGGTGTGGGACTGAGGAGGGAAGAGGACTGGATGACTCATGCTCACGCGTTGACAGCAGTAGGCAAGGTTACTGTGTGCTTGTGCTCATGGCTGCCGACTAAAGAAAAAGGAAGGGCGACATGGTGGTTGCAACCAGCTCTGACGTTCCTGGAAATTGTTCTGTGTGATATATTTAGTCATGAATAGCCAACATGACTAGCTGTACCACATTACCATATTACCACACTGAGAGACATCCTTCTTGACCATAAAAACATGTCAGTGTAAGCCCTAGATTATAATAAATGTGTTTTATAAACCCAGCGGACATACACAAACTACCTGTGTTCTTCAATAAAAAAAGATTGCTTTTGCTATATGTCCTAGTACAGAGAGTCTGTGTTACATCTTCCCTATAAAGCTGTGGCTGTGCCCATAGACACATTATTTTCAGTTCTCAGTTAACCTGACCATGTAGAGTTAACTCAACAGGTTCCTTTCCCATCCCATAGTACTGAGTTGGCTGAAGCAACTTGCTCTAGTTTCAGAAAGGTGATTTTGAACCAGGGAGAGGTTCAGGAGAGGTTTAGCTGGGATCTGGAACGTTACTCTTGGGTCGGGCCTAGATTGACTTGGTCACGCGTGTTTCAGAAACCAAGGGCTAAAGCAAGCCTGAAGGGTTCAGGATGAACCCTTCCAGAAGCACATGACAGCTCCCAGCAAAGTTTAGGTGTGTGTCTGGTCACACCACCTGCGTTCACTGAGGACTTGAGTGTCCAGCTCATATCTTCTCCACTGGAACTCCTGCCACAGGCTGAATTCAACGTCTATAGAAAACCCATCCAGTATCCTACCTTCCCGTTTCCTTGACTGCCT